ATCCCAGATAGTGAGTACTCCTTCAGCCTGGGTCCTGGAATAAAAAGACATGTGGATCAGATCCTAAGTCAATCCAGTCTGCCACAGTGCTGTTTCAGCTGTTCCCTCAGAGTCTGGGGCAAGAAAAAAATATTTCCATAAGCCAGTGAAGTTTCACAATTGTTTGTTATATAGCAATAATCCAGAAAAATCTGACAAATACATATGTGTAACAAGGTTATGATGGCATGCTGGACTGAAAAAGAGGGACAATAACATGAGACTTTTTTTTTTTTTTTTTGAGACGGAGTCTCGCTCTATCTCCCATGAGATTTTGAGTCCATTACACTAGAGTTGAAATCTTAGCTCTGAACAGCTACCAGATGTGTGACCCTGTCTGGGCAAGCCTCAGTGATCCCTACCTTGTTGCATTACTGTGACAATTAGCAATAGTATCTAAAATGTACCTTGCACAGTGCCTGCCACAAGATAGGTACTTGATAAATGGAAGAAATAATCCAATTAGTAATAAAGGATGGCAAAATACCTTCCCAATTATCCATGATTAAAGTGCTAATTGGAAATTGTTCATCTCAATTAAATATTTCTTTAATTAACCAGATAAATAGAAAGGGTGAAACCATTGCTCAAGTTTGTAGCTTCCAAAATATTTATAGAAAATTACATTTTGAGATATATACTGTGCTCTTTCTAAAACGGTGTAAAACCTCAGAGTAGTCAAGAATATGAATCCCTGTTGTGTCAAAGAATAAGAATGCATTCTTTGTGAAGAAAAAAAAATGATTAAATTGCATCTTCCAGACTAGTGATTTAAATCGTGATCAAATCCACTATAGTCTGGGAGGCCCCCATTTAATCCATTTACTGTGAACATTATTAAACATTTATTAAATGCTTGTGCATAGCAAAGAATTTCAAAGGTATGGTTTGGTTCGCAGAGCTCCAAGAAAGTCAAGAACATAAAACTACTAAATGTATCAACTAATCCCAGCACACACACTGTCACAAAACGTTAAGCACTACAATTACTGAAGCATAGAAATAGATTTTTATCCATTGGGAAAGCATTCAGAAAAAATCACCACTAATAAATAATAAAAGATTTATTTGAATTGTAAAAGTTGACTAGAAAAGAAATTTATTTAAGACATGAGCTCAAGTCTCTGCCTTTCAAAAAATTAATAAAAAATAATTTACAGAAAAGATACATATAATCTGGTAGCTATTGTCTGAGTAGCTCAGGTAAATTTAGGGTAGTGTTTGCAAACCACATGAGGAGGAAATGCTTGAAAAGCTTCAATGAAGATTCCTGGGCTCCCACTCCAGACCTATTGAATGACAAGCATTGGGAATTTGGCCTGTGAATCTGCATTTGTTAACAAACCCTCCAGGTGACTCATGTGTACTCTGAGAGCTGCTAACCAATGCAAACCCTTGGGTAATCTTTGGCAGCTGACTTAAAGGTTTTAAAAGCCTCAAATCCAAGCAAGTCTAGGCCATTCTATGCCCACAGGTTAAATAAAGACAAAGGAGTCTAGCCCTGAGAGTCAGTAATCGCTACAGGGCTAAACAGCTTTTCATTCTGCCAGCAACTCAAACCATATTTTTTTTTTAGCACTTGGAAGCAAAAAACTGATGGATCGTTCAACAGTAGTATAAACTCAACAGCACTAAGGTGATAGCTTCTCTTATTGGGCATACAATTGCCAAACTTCTCTTCAGCCCTAGCATCACCTGGAAACAAGTCCAGGTGGTCATTCCTCATCAGCTCCTTGGGCTTAGATTCTAAAATCTAGAAGTGCTGAGAGGAGAGAAAGAAAGATGGTTAAGATTCTATGGACACTCTAATCTTCATTAAAAAACTCAACAAGCCCAAACCTTTTTTCCTGTAATACAGAGAAAAAACCCAGTTGTGTTTTCTAAGAGAAGGGAACAGAATGAAATAATAAAGGAGGAAAGACATTGCTACTATAATTTTAAAACTATGAAAAAATCAGAAACATGAAAGAATTGAAAGAAAAGGGCACTGGATTAGGACTGAGGAGATGTGGGTTCAAGATGCAGCTTATATCCTCTAAAACCTGTGTGACCTTATAAACTCACTTAGCTACTCTTTAACTCAAAGGAGTTAATGTTTATAGGAAAGAGGTTTTTAAATCACAAAGCAATGTGAAAATATAAGTGGCATTAGTATCGCTGATGACAAAAGGTTTTATTTTTAATTGTTATTTTTTTTAAGACAGGGTGTCACTCTGACACCCAGGCTGGAGTGCAGTGGTGCAGTCACTGCTCACTGCAGCTTCGTCCTCCTGGACTGAAGTGATCCTTCTGCCTCAGCTTCCTGAGTCACTGGGACTATAGGCATGCACCACCACACCCAGCTAATTTTTTGTATTTTTTTGTAGAGATGGAATTCCACTATGTTGACCAGGCTAGTCTGGGACTCCTAAGCTCAAGAGATCCACCTGCCTTGGCCTCCCAAAGTGCTAGAATTATAGGCATGGGCTACCATGACTGGCCAATTAAAGGTTTTTAAAATATATATATATAATTCCGAATATAATGGAGCAAACGCAAATACATATCTTTTCTAAGTAATACCCAAGGTAGAAACATTGTAGCAAGTTACCTGTGGGAAAATCTAGGCCACTAATACCAAATTGTTCCTACTTTTCACTGTATCAGGTAAACCAAAATGCAACTTCCTGATTAAAGAAAAAAAACAACTGGGTATGACTTGATGTAGTCATCTATATAGCAGTGGTGAATGATTCAGTTCGAACTTTTCCTATGACCTACCTACCCACATTTACCTGAGTCTCAACGCTAAGTTCATCACTAGAGAGCCATACAAACAATGGGACTATAAAGAAATCAGGAAGGTTAATCAATGACCAGCACCATTAGTCAATAAGTCCAGGGTTGCAAGGATTTTGAAACCTGTTTAATACTTTATTGCCTTACAGATTTTAGCTCAACACCAAATTTCAGTGTAGTTGGGAACATGCAAGGAAATTCCAACTTATCTTGAGATGGGTGAGAGCAAGGTACACTGCAGTTACACGAAGCTACGTTTGAAAGTAGGCTCCATATTCTATGTCTTCTCTGAACCTCAGTTCATGAGTTGGTAATTATCAGTCCCACCTCATGGTGTTGTTGGAAGAATTAAATAAGACCTGTCTATAAAACCCTCTGTACAGTGTCTGGCACATTGTAAGTACTCAATGAACTCATTATTATTAGTAGTAAAGTATTAGTACAGAGTAGGCACTCGGTAAAGGCTAGTTCCCCTCTTTTAACATTTTGTACTTAAAAGGCAGACATATATTCCAACCAAATTTTAAGGGATACATGATAACATACAGTATGTGGCAAAGTCAGGGTGAAATTTCCTAACATTGACTTTTAATCTACTATAGCTATGAAGACCAATTTTACAATTTACACTGGCCATAATTAGAGCCTATGTATACAAAAGCTATAGTTTAAACTTGAGATGGCACATACAGCTTTCTTGCTACCTAATATTTAATACAGTTTCTTAAATCATTTTTCTGGTATTGTGGATATACAGTTAGTATGTCTATAGGGATACCTTCCTACCTCCTGTTCTAATCATCATCACTGGGACTGTTATGAACAGAATGTACATATATGTCCCCTACAAATTCATACTCAGAAGCCCTAAACCCTTATGTAACGCTATATAGAGATAGAGCCTTTGGGAGGAAGTTAGGTTTTGATGAGGTCATGAGGGTACAGCCTTAATGATGGCATTAGTGCCCTTATGGGAAGAAAAAGACCAAAGCCTGCTCTCTCTGCCATGTGGGGACACGGCAAGAAGTTGGTAGTTGGCAAGTCCAGAAGAAGGCCTTCATCTTGACTGTGCTGGTGCCCTGATCTTGGACTTCCAGCTTCCCGAACTATAAGAAATAAATGTCTATTGTTTAAATCACCCAGTCTGTGGTATTTTGCTGTAGCAGCTTGAGTTGACTAAGGGAGCAAAAGCACTCTATGAATATTGTGGATAAGTATCTAATGTATGTAAATGAGCTCTGAAAATGGTAAGGTGCTAATATTACCATTTAAACAAGACTAGGGAAGACACAGGCCCTCGCTTGAGATGTCTACAATCTAAAGTCTAGAGAAATGCACAGTGGCTAGCAAAGGAACAGAAACATACACATACACAGAGACATGCATGTGTCCAGGCATATGAACATTTTAAAGACAAATAGCGACAATAACAAGTATTTCTAAAAACCTGTATCTTTATCTATGAATGAATAATTTTAAAAGTAAGTCAGAAGCAATAAAAATACTGGAACAATTTTGCCCCATATTTTTAAATGTTTTGTAAAAAAATCTCCTTACAAATAAATTCTTAAAATCAATATTTATAAATGAAATTCATAGCAAGAGTCATTTATTCCATTAAGAAAGCATTTGTAGAAGCACACCTCCTTATATTAATGGAGCTACAGAGTGCAAATGTCCATCGTTCAAGGACCAGACGAACCCATGAAAGATAAAAGACCAAGCAACTAATGCAATATCACTTCTGCAAAGCCTTACTGTAAAGGGAAAGATTCTTATATAAGATCCATTTGAAAATCCATTTCACACTTCTAACTTAAAGCCAATTCAAATGTAATTTACTTTATCAGATTCCTTCATTTAGAGAGGGTCAGGAGTACAATCAACAGAAGTGACAATTACTTAGCCTTATCAAAAGATGACCTGGTAGCAGTAGTGCTGAGCAAGAAAAAACAAAACAGAACAAACCAGGACTCCCACTGGAAACCACGGCTGTTAGTGTCTAAACAGATCTTCTAACAAACCAGAACATTCTAAGAAAAAGCATCTACGTGCGTCGTCTCTGCACCAAATGCAACCTCATTTGTCATTCTATTTTAGTGGCCTAACATTCCTTTACTTTTCCAATGTTGACCATTTAAAAGAGTTGAAACAACACTCTTGGCACAAAATATTACACTTACCACTCTCGTCGTCTATACTGAACCTTCCAAGACCACTGCCATCCCTGATGGAGTACTGGATCTCTCCATCCCTTCCGGAGTCTTCATCTCGAGCAGTCACCTGCAGCACGCTTGTTCCAATGCGTGAGTTTTCTTTTACAGATCCAACAACAGCAAAGTCTGGGAAATAGGGAGTGTGGAGGTTTTCATTGACATCCACCACTTCCACCTCAACAAAGGAAACAGATGACAGAGAGACAGGCCGCCCTTTGTCTTTGGCCCGTACAGTAAGGTTATAGAATTGCTGTTTCTCATAATCAAGCTCTTTGCTCAAGCGGATGGCCCCACTTGCTTTATCTATTTCAAATCTCCCATTATAGTCATTGACCAAGGAATAGCGTACTTGACCCCCCAATCCAAGATCTGGATCATGGGTCTCAAGCCAAGCAATGACAGTGCCAACAGGGAGATCTTCAAGAACCTTCACACTATAGCTACTGGGAATGAAAGCCGGGGAGCAGTCATTGACATCATCTAAAAAAACTTTAAGAGTGACAACTGAAAACAGTTGCTGACCACTTTCTGCCTTGTCCCTGGCTTCTATTTTCAAAGAATAATTGGCTTTGGATTCCCGGTCCAACTGATCGGCTACATAAACGATTCCAGTTGAGCTATTGATGGCAAACTGCTGTGTATCTGTCAAGACTGAGTAAGTCACTTCACCATTAGAACCTAAGTCTTTGTCTCTGGCTTCCACTTGAATGATTTCAGTACCAATACCTGAACTTTCAAGAATGTTAACTGAGTAACTGTCTTGAATAAAAACTGGGCTATTGTCATTAGCATCCTCCACATTGATGGTCAGCAGTCTCCATGATGATTTCTGTGGATTACCTAAGTCATAGATGGTGATATTAAGGAGATAGAGGTCTGTGTGTTCTCGATCCATGGGCATAAGGACTTTCAGCTGCCCAGTTTCCATATCAATATTAAAGCAACTATCCGTATTTCCATCTGATATTGTAAATAGCACTTTTCCATTGAAGCCAGAGTCGGCATCATAGGCTTTAATCTTCAGAATGTTAGCACCAACTGGCAGATCCTCCTTTACAGCCACATCAGAAGGAAAAGACTTGTCAAAATATGGTCCCTGCCTATTAATTGAATAAAAGTCAAGAAATCCATCTTCCAGATTCAGTTTCCCATTTGCTTTTGCCTTAATGAGCAGCTTCTCTGCCAGCTTTTGAGCCACACGAGTTTCTCTGCAGCTGAAGCTCTTTGAAGACACCTTCCCATGTAGGACGGAAATGTTTATAGACATGGGGTCTGCAAGATTCTCTCCATCAGTTGCTGTAATTCTGAGGGCAAAATTGCCATTTTTAATGCCAGAATTTGTCAGTGATTTTTTAAGCTGTAAAACACCAGAGTCTGGGTTTAAATAAAAGAAGCCAAGTTCATTTCCAGAAATTATTTTGTACTTTACAAGTTCAAGTTCATCAATATCGATCGCTGAGACTGCTGTGATGTGTCCACCGACTGGAAAGTCATATGAAATAACTCCCTGACAAGCCACTTTTTCAAAGAGAGGGCTGTTGTCGTTGACATTTCCTATTCGAATAGTCACATTGACCTCACTTTCATGGCGGTACGGCGAACCCCAGTCAGAGGCTCTAACAATGAATCTGTAAATTTCTGGGGAGGATTCAAAATCCAATTCTTCAGTTGTGCTAATAACACCTGTAAACTGGTTAATGGCAAATGGTAACAGATTCAGGCTAGCGATACTATAGGTGATGTACCCATTTTCCCCTTTATCCTTATCAGAAGCTGAAACTGTTAGAACACTGGTTCCCACCGGAACACTTTCATTCACATTAGCATCGTAGAGTGGTTGCTGAAATTCTGGGGTGTGGTCGTTCGCATCTTCTATGCTGATGGTGACTTGTGTTTTTAAATCTCCTTCCTTGTTTGTCACCTCCAGTTTATAAACCTCCTTCTTAACAGTATTCAGTGGCTGTGCTGTAACAATCAGACCTGACCGAGGATTAATTTTGAAGTACACTGCATCCTCACCAGGAGATAATTTGTATTCCACATCTATCGGTTCAGGACTTAGTTTTACTATAGCAACCACGACACCAGGAGGGGAAAATTCACTTACGCTCACATCGTACACTTCTTTTTCAAATCTAACAGGGACAGTGTCTCTTGTGGGGTTGCCAATGTGGACTGCCTTTAATGCTGAAAATTTCTGAGGAGATCCCTTGTCTTTTGCTTGAAGAGTGAGATTGTAGCCATAGGGAAAGCTCTCCCAGTCAATCTGCTTCCTCTCCTTAATCTTGTACTCATTCAACCACTTTCCTTCCTTAGCCAGGAAGAACTGATCTAAAGGATCCCCAGCCACGATGGAAACAGATTCGATCTCTCCATTGGCTCCATCATCTAAGTCATCAACCGTCACCACTGCATATGTCGGCTCTTTTTCCAATGAGAAAGGAACATGAGTGACTACCTGGATTGTTGGGGCATGTTCATTTATGCGCTCAATGTGAACATAAAGCTTTGCAGTACTGCTCACTCCATTGTTTCCATACAGTTTCATTCCCCGGTCCACAGCCAAAATTTCCAGATCATACCTATTCTTTTCATCATAATTTAATCGGCCACTTAAGGAGATGACACCACTCGTGGGGTGAACTGAAAAGAGATCAACTTTATTTTTAAAGTAGTAGTAGAATTCTCCATTGGAACCAATATCTGCGTCTGTTGCAGTCACCTGGGCGACACTAGTCCTTAGAGGTGTGCTTTCTGCTATGGTAACAGAGTATGTTGTGGGTGAAAACAGAGGTCTCAGATCATTCATATCTAAAACCTGTATATTCACTTTGGTCCATGCTTCCAAATCCTCTCCTCTGACAGAACCTTTTACTATCAATAAATAATTATCCTGGATTTCCCTATTTAATATGGCAGAATTGCCACCTTTAGTTCGTATTCTGAGAAAACAGAAATCTGCAATGATGACTTCCTCTGCTTTGAAAAAGCCTTCCTCATCTCCGGACACTATTCTGTATTTGATATCCCAGGACAGATCTATTAAGGTGATGCCCATTCTACTCTGGCTGTTGACGTAGGTCCTTGCTGCTGAGTTCTCATACACGGTAGCATTATAAATGGAATGTGTGAAGTGGAAGCCCAGGGGCCCAGTCCCCGGCAGCCCCTGGGAGACGGTGGCCAAAAGCTTGAAAAGCAGGAGGATGAGGCAACAAGGAGGAGGCCGTGCGCCCACACAGTGTCCCATAATTATATCCATCACATCATACTTCCATCCTGGAGGGGAAGAAAGAGAGAGAGAAAAGATAAATTAACCATCCTAGAAGAAGTGGGAGAGTGGGAAATAACTATTAGGAAACCATGCTTTTCAAAACTTTATCATAAAATCTTTTGATTAAAACAGCAATATAAGAAAAAATTAGAAACCTCGCCACTACTAGGAAATGAGGAACCCAAGATTACTAGAATTTAGCCGAATCTTGTAAGAATTTTTTTCAAATGACACTTTGTTTTAAATAACACTTTTATACTGCTGACAGGGTTGTTCATTGGTACAAGATTTCTTACATTCTGAAGGTCAAGTTAGAGGTATATATTGGAGGTCTTAAGTGCATTTACCTTTGACTTAGAACTGCCTTTGTAGTAATTATCCTATAGAAACATTTAAACACGTATCTGTTATAGCACATTTTAAAGTAACAAAAAAAAATTGAAGAGATGCTAAATGCCTATCAATAGAGGACTGAATAACTCATGATGTATTCATAAAATAAAATAATATGGAGTCATTAAAAATAGAGATATAAAAGATGTGCATTTTCAGATGCAGTAAGATATAATGCTAAGGAAAAAGAGGTCATCAACAGCATATATAGCATGAGTTCTATTATCATATAAACATCTATATGTGCAACTGAATCTTTATATTTAAAAAGGATTAACTGTGTTGTGGGATTTGGTGGCATATCTGCATTTTCTAATTTTTCTTTAATGAACATTGTTCATCAGTAGTTATAGAACTAATTTTATAATTATAATCTTTTAAAAATGTTTCAAGGTATTACCATCTTTCATTGTGCTTACTTTTAAACTGATCAAGGCATATACATAATGCAATGCCATGAGAATGAACAAAGTGTCAAGTTACAAAACAGAGACAATAATCCCTAAGGAGTTATATGACTGGAGTGATATCCAAACTATTCAGAACAAGGGAGGTAAAAGTGATTACTTGCAAGAAAAACTTACGAAATTACAAGAGATACTTCCAATTACTTTCATCAGTGACTATTAAATTTGGACAGTTTCTACAGTTTCATGACTATGTGGGTTAAAAGACACAAACTTTTTCCTATTTTAGCCAGTAAAATCAATCAAGGAGAGCGGAGAAAGGAGGTATTCAATAAGAAAAAATTAAGTCTATTCATACCCAAAGGATCAGAATTTTATAACCCCCGAGTACGAATTCTTCTGTTCAGTCTTACACTCTGCAAGCCCTTGATATTCTCCTTTTCTTCCTCTACAGGGAACGTGAAGATGAGAGGAGATGGGAAATGAATTTCTTTGAAGGCATGCAATGTTGTAGGCACTGTGTCAGTCATTTTCCCATTTTGTTATATTTAATCTTCACAACAATCCTAAGTAATAGGTACCATTTTACCCAATGACATATTAGAAAACTGAGGGTCAGAGAAGTTAATCTTACTTAGTTGAGACATTTGCCCAAGCAATGTTCCCTAGCCAGCAAGTAGCAAAGCAGGATCTCAGACCTTAATCTTTCCCTAAAATCCATGCTTTTCCCATAACACAATCACTCTCTCAAAATCACCTGCAAGCAAGAATGAAATAATTAAGGATCCTAGAAGCACATATGACATAATTTAATTCTAATGAAATAGTCAACATGTATCATTGATTTTTAAAAAGCACAACCCACCCCTGCCCCCAGCATATCTTTTTGGTTATCTCCTCTCTGGTTTTAATGTAGTTCTAATTATTGGCTGCAAACTGAAACAAAACAAAACAAAACAAAAAAACTATAGGAGTTTAACATATTAAAATATTACAAATTATATTTATGGTTTATAAAACCCTTTCATATCCAAGATTAGCAAGGCACATATTATTATAACCTTTCTGTTAATGAGAATATAAAACCTCATTTTCCTATCTAGACTTTATTAGTTAAGTCTAAATAGACTTAACTTTTTCTTGTTGAATACCTCCTTTCTCCCCTCTCCTTGATTAATTTTACTGGCTAAAATAGGAAAAAGTCTTTATCTTTTAACCCACATAGTTATAAAACTGTGGAAACTGTCTAAATTTAATAGTCATTGATAGAGTCTGGCAGACCCTAGATTAGAGCTCAGGCTCTCTCCATACCCCACAAGGCTTTCCCATTTTTTTTTTTTTTTTTTTTTTTTTAGCTCCACCTTACAAGAGACTCTCCTGAAGTGAAACCTTGAGCATGCAAATGCTGCTTCTGCCTGAGAATGTAAGATATCTTGCTGCTATCATCTGCTTAAGTATCCAGTAGAAAACATGGAGTTACAAATAGAAAAAGTCAAGTTTAATTTACGGACTTTACAGGCATTTACAGACAGCAAAAACGAAAAGCCGAAAAAGGGAGTAAGCTTCTATAAAGGAAGTTAATTTCACATGCAGTTCTTTAGAGGCATCGCATGTGCTAAGTAAGTAGAACAGGCAGCCTGTGGATAGCAGCTCTGGTAACTAGGTCAGGGACCAAGTCAGATGGCCGCTGGTGACCCTGCTCAGTAAGTTCCTAGAAAGACACCATTGGGCTGCTGGTCATTTCAAAGGAAACTTTATTAAGAAAATGATATATTTGGGGTTTTCTGGATGCAGTAGCTTCAAATGTCCTACCTAGCAGAGTGGCGAATCCCAGTGTGCTTGGGTGTCTACTTTGTGGAGCACAGTCAGCTGAAATATGGGAGCAATAGAACCTCTCTTTAGTGATCACAGAAGTACACTAGCAGAAGCTTTAATAGTATTTTGTATGCTTCAGGAATCTCTTCTATTTCATCACCTCAAAAGGTTCCAAAGCAGTGGAGAAATTTTTAGGCTCACTGTGGACATGTGTACATGGTCAAGAAAGCAAGTCTCTTGTAAGGGAATGCAAAGGTTAGGTTACACTCTCTCAAGGTGAAACACTGGGATCATTCCCAGAATGCTCCAGAAAAATACAAATAAAGTTTCTGCCTCATTTCTCACTCACTATTCTGTGCTGAGAAGACTTCCTGTAACAGTAATTTTGCTAATCCTTTGCCCAAGGAGTCTGGACTCCATGGTCATCAGAGAGGAAAACTTCCCCCACGAAAAATTCAGTTCAACTGAACTTTTCTGAGTCTGCCCCCTCATTCGCACTCTGGACTTCTACTTAACGAAAACTGATGGGAAGTACATCACTCTATTCCCAGCACCCAGTACAGCACCCCCGACACAGGAAGCAAACAACGCTGGTTTGTTGAACAGAACACTAAGTACTAATGTAACCAGAGGCCCAGATGCCTTTAATATGCTCCGTTTCCTATTCCCCAACAAAAAGCACATCTTACTTCAGGAAACTGAATCAAGAAATTATACAGGTTCAAAGGAGCCTTAAAGATCATCTGTTCCAATCTCCTGAGTTTACAGATGAAGAAACTAGGGTCCATAAAATGAAGAGATTCCCCTAATACCAGGTCTCAAGTCTCCCAGGTTCAGAGCTAATGCCAAACTGAAACACACTTCAATTGAATTAGTTTTCATTGAGTTCCATTACAATTTTAGAACTGTGGTTTATCATTATGTTGGAGTCATCTTCCTTTTCTGACACCATATTTCTCTCCCTGGTGTTATTTCCTCCTCTAAGTAGTTAGCTGTTTATAAATAAACATTTAAGTGCCCTAAGGGGATAGTTACTTTTACAAATCTTTCTGTGAATCTTTCAAGGCAAAGAATGCTGTCATAATATGAAAACATATCATTCAATTTAACTATTCAAAAATTAGTGCTTTTGCATAGTGAGTTTTTCTCTCAGCAAGATACACTGCTGGAATTATTTTCTTATAAACCAGAATCAGTGGTCTTAAATGCAAATAGAAAATACTTCAAAACAAGCATAAATGGAGTGGTATTATCATGTACTGAAATGTAGACCTAACACCAAAAAATTGAGCAGGACTAAGTTTGTCAATTCAGCTGTTGAAAACAAAATATCTTTTAAGGCTTTTGTATCTTTATTGTGGCACAGGAAATAAAAAAGCCCTATCTGACACAAATTATTTTTAAAAGCCTTGTTTTCCCATTGATTAGGAAATAAATGAGTGTTAGAAGCTAGGAATGTTGTAAAATATTGCAAAGCAAATTCTAGAATCAAATTTTGTCTTCTTTTCTTTTTAGTATGCCGAGACAACTGTTCAGGTTTTTAAAAAATAATATTGCCTTTTCCACATTGAAGTCAAGCTATTTGTGAAGCCAATATGATAGTTACAGTGTTTTAGATGCTCCACACATTGATTTATTCTACTGCTTCTAGATTATTTTAAAGAAAGCACTTAGTTCCCAACCTCAGAGCCTATTTTCTACAACTTACTAACATAATCAATAATTTTTTATATAATCTCCAAAGAGATCATCAAGCCATCAATCTTCGAGACATTTATTTTTCAGAGGCATTCCTGGTGTGACACCCCATCCTGCCCTTCTGTTCTGTTAGGATGGATCTTACTGTGGGACTCGGAAGGGCATGCAGATTTTTCTTCCCATGGATGAATAAATACCAGAGACCTTGGGGGCAGGGAACAGCAATCACAGAGACTACCTCTCTGGGACAGCCGTGGCTCTGCGGGGTACCTATGCTTGCTTTGGTAACCTGATAAAGCTGTTTTCTGCCAACATTAATCTGGTCTGCTTAAATTGGTGAGACTTCTGAACACTACAAAATGTATTTTAAAAATATATTTCATTTTCATTCCCTCTCTTCCTATCTTTTCTATTGTGAGGGGATTCTGTTAGCCAAATTGGGAGGATACTCAAGAAATTTGCTATGTTAGGCTGTAAAGCAAAGAACAAAGTCAATATAGAGTCCCCTTGACAGGAGTCCTTGAAGAAGGTGACCCGTGTTCAAACTACAAATAGAAGATCAGTCTCTGCTTCGGTGTATGCAGTGCCAGAGCCAATGCCAACACAAAGGCAGAGCATGCAATGGTTACAGAACGTGCACTTTGGCACTTGACTGCCTGCATTCAAATCCCATCTATGTCATTTACTATGAC